GCGTGGCGCAACTCACGGAGCAGTTGGCTCCCAGTCGAGGCCGTCGGAGAGGAATTCTGCACGTTTAAGGTTGAAGAAAATGATACGGAACCCTAAGCCCTAAACCTTATATTATATTAAATCGTATTCCGTTCAAAGATGTTGGCCTGTTCTGCTCAGACTCTAGTTTTCACAGCTGCGTGTAGGGGGGGATCTTTTGTGGATCAAACTTCGGTTCTTGACCAATCAGAGAGCAGCCCGGATCTATCTCTTCATATTTCGTTTAGGCCTATTGTCGTTGTTGCCGGCGTAGCAGCAGCAGCAGCAGATCGTCGTAGTGTGGGTCGTGGTCGTAGTCGTTTATGGTCGTGGGCATGTTTGTGGTCGTCGTCGTCGTCGTCGTCGTTATCTCCGTCGTCGTTCTCGTTGCCGCAATCGTGACTTTCGTCAAGATGTACTTGCAACGACACAGGCAGACGGCAGCGCACCGAGCGGAGGCTACCAACGCCATCCCAGCCTTAGAGCGGGACGCCGGTGTCACTTTTACGACCTACAACCAGTGCTTTGAACGCACGGGGTCCGATTGAAGATGGGAATGCCAGTACTTTCGGGTTGCAGCAGCGGCATGCCGTCCACCTTGGCACGTTTTTGATGTAGGTGGCGTAATCATTAGAATGGGGCTTTGGCGGTTCAAGTTTTGCAAAATTAGAATATACTGAATGAAACCTATTCTAAGCTATTAGGGCCCCTACATTATAGAACCCTACTATAGTTATAAATCCCCTGTAGAGCCCCTTAAGGATACCTGCAAGGGAACCCCCTTCTTTTTATTAAGGCCCCTACATGCCCAGTGAGCCTCCGGCCTGCAAAGAGATTCCCCAAATATTAGCTTCGAGCTGTCTGAGCCCGAAGCCCAAGTCGGTTTGGGGTTTAGGTATCTCAGCACGAAGTGCCTTTCAGCTAAATTGAAACCGTTTACCAGGACCCTCCTTGTACCCTCAAATGGGGGTATATGGTCCCTAGATGGAGGGTCTAGGTAGAGCTTTCAATAAACGGTAGTGCTGAGCTGAAGCTCCACCTCTGAAGCAAAGCAGGCTGGCTTCACTTAGGGGTACTTAGAAATGATTTTTAATTTGTGATTTTTATAATCCCTAAGAACCAGCCAAAATGGTAATTTTTGCTAGGGTTCTAAGTTCAGTATATTTCCAATCAACCTTAAACCCTAAACCCTGAACTCTGAACCCGCGCCCCCACCCTTCCACCCGCCAAAGAAAAGCAAGCCATAGAGCGCAAACGTCTGAAACGACCTAGAGCATAAAACCCTACTTGGAGGTTCATCGGTAGTTGTAAGTGGAGTTATAAGTTCCCCTAACATGGGTTATACTTATAGTTACCCTACTTATAACCCCACTTATAACTACCCATGAACCTCCAAGTAGACCCTTCATCCTTGAGCACGAAACCTTGGATGCTCCCCCCCCCCGCTCAGTAACAGCTGGAAAATAGCTAGTTATGATAGGCATATAAAGGCTCCTAAGTATGAAAGACTTTTGCTAAACCCTAAACCGCAGACCCAACCCCTAAACGCTATAGTTACACCCTAGACCCGAAATCCTGAAGCTTAAAACCTAAAGCCCCCAAAACCATAAAGACCCTAGCTAAACCCTGAAACCCTAAAATCCTAGACCCCAAACCCCTGCATCGTCATGCGGAGAAAGAGCCATGGCACTTGAAAGTTAAAACAAGCCCTAGACCCCAAGCCCTACCCATAGGCCCCATTGTAGTTCCTTTTTTGGGGTTCATATGCAAAATCCTAGAAGGTAATCCCCAAAAAGAACTACTATGGGGCCTAAGGGTAGACCCCAGACTCTACACTCTCCCCCTACTTGGAGGTTCATGGGTGGTTATCAGCAGGTTAAGGTTAAGTAATTATACTTCTAATCCATATTAGGGGACTTGTAACTCCACTTATAACTACCCATGAACCTCCAAGTAGACCCCAGACTCTAGACCCTCACCCCTAAACCCTCAAACCCTAAACCCGAGAACTCCAAACCCTAAAACCGTAAAACCCCAAACCCTAAGACCCCAATTCCTGCAACCCAAAACCCTAAACCCCCAAACCCTCTTATAGATCCCTGTATAGAGCCCTTATAGATCCGTTTAACAGGATTCCTACACCCTTTAAGCCCCTAAGACCCCAGACTCTACACCCTCGTCAGGTGGATGGAGTCGGGAAGACCACGAGGCCTTCGCCAGGCTCCTCTTGGGGTGCCCGGGCGGCATCTGAAGCTATACAGCGCAGTGAATTATACCATATACGATAGACTTTGTACTATATAGTCTACATTATATACTATATACCCTATACTATAATCTGAAACAATACAGCAGAAGCCAGAAAAGTTGGAACAGTATGGTTAAGGGTTTAGGCTTTAGGGTCTCGGGCTATAGCAGGGTTTAGAGTTTCGGGTCTAGGGAAGTAGAAGCCAGAAATATACGATCATATACCAAAGGGGCCTAAATAACTAGCTATTCCTTGGGAGCTCCTTGTTACAGTTATACTATACACAGTAGAAGTCAGAAAGTTGTAACAATAGTAGATTTATAAGCACGATGCAGAAGGACTAGTATTAGTGTTTGCTGAGGATTCCACATGAGGGAGTTGTGTGAAGATAGTCGTCTAAGATATTCTCAGACGATCTTGATAGGGTGTCGTGAGGTCGACGTTTCACGTGTTTTTGTTCAAGTCGGTGCAGCATTAATCCTGAGCATGTGAGCGCCCCTTGGGCTATATTCCCATTTTGTTCAGGTTAGAGTTGGGCCACATTATCTGATAACATATAGGATGCATGTACGGATTGTCGAGTCTAGTTACTAGTGTCATACTTGGTCATATGAGCCAGAGTGCAGACTTGAATCCAGAGGCTTCCCACCTGATGAGTACCACGGTAAATCCCAACAGTCCTATACTCAAACCACTGAGCCCTGGACATCCATGGGCATCCCCACAGGAAATGCGATGATTTTCTCACCTGCTTACATACTCTAACTAACAATTGATATTATGGGAGCTAAGGAGCCAGGGATGATGATAATCCCTATTAAAAAAAGAGCTAAAGAGCCAAGGGAACCCCCCGAAACCACTGGTTAGCTAAGCCTTTCTCAAGGCTCTTTAAGGCTTCGCCCAACCAGCCTCAAAGTCCTAGGCCTGAGCCCGCCTGAACCCCATCAACCATTCAAAAGCTCCCAAGAAGCCGTATCATCTATACAAAATGCTGGGTTCTGGTTTAGGGTTTAGGGTGTAGGGCCTAGGGTTCGGGGTTTAGGGTTCAGGGTTTAGGTTTTAGGGCTTAGGGTTCGGGGTTCAGGGTTCAGGGTTTAGGGTAGAATTCGTGTCCCTCTTGTGGTTTCCTTATCGAAAAGCGAGTGCCGTATTCTGGCGGGGATCCAGCATGGCGCCCCAACTTAGAGAACGACCCAAACACTCCTAACCATCTTACACCCTAAATCCACAAGATCTCAGTCCTCAGGCGATTCCGGGGTCGTGCTTGCCCAGCTTTCTTGGAGGAGGCCTGGCAACTTTGCCATAGTGTGTGGGTCCTGGTAAACATCGTCCTTGCTGCACTTTAAGGTTTACATGTAGCCACATGTAGGTTGCTGAAGGAGCGTATATTCAGACTACTGATGATCGTGTTTGCTACTGACACGGCTTGTATCGTCAGCAGCACCGAGTGAACGCCCTTCTCGTTATCACCGCCACCTCGACAGACATTTCGTCGCTCACATCGTAGTGGTGAAAAATACGAAGCAGTAGTAGTCGTGGTCGTTGTAGTCGTCGTAGTGTTAGTCACTCTGGCTGTGTCGAAGTGGTGGTGGTGGTGGTGGTGGTGGTGGTGGTGGTGGTGGTGGTGGTGGTGGTGGTGGTGGTGGTGGTGGTGGTGGTGGTGGTGGTGGTGGTGGTGGTGGTGGTGGTGGTGGTGGTGGTGGTGGTGGTGGTCGTGGTGGTGGTGGTGGTGGTGGTGGTGGTGGTGGTGGTGGCGGCAGAGTAGTAGTAGTAGTAGTAGTAGTAGTAGTAGTAGCAGTAGTAGTAGTAGTAGTAGTAGTAGTAGTAGTAGTAGTAGTAGTAGTAGTCGTCGTAGTAGAAGAAGAAAGCGTGTTCTCATGCCGACGGCATTCCTTCCAAGAAGAAGCCTGACCCCATTGGCTAACCTCAACTAGACTGAGCATCTACAGGCCGCTTGCACCGGGCACCTAAGAATTGAACTACTGCAATAGCTTGGGATAGCTTGGAGCTTGACGGCAGTTGGAACTACTGCAGTAGCATGATTATGGTGAGGTAACTTCCTGTAACTTGTAAGCTTTTCAAATTAGGTGTTTTTGCTTGGGCAGCAATGCCACTTTCAGTGACGGTGCTAGCGCTGCTGTAGTAGACGTTGATTGTTATTGAGGGTTTCACCTCGTGCAGTGCACAATCAAGCTAGACTCAATGTCAACCTGCAGAGAAAGCTCGAGAACTGCAATGTGACCTGAGGAGTGAGCATTCTGTTCATCAGAGGGGTCGTGTCGCATGATTAGATATTTCCAGCAGCATGAAGCTCCAGCTGATCGAAGCAGCGTTGCTGTGATGCTCTAGCTTGGCGGCATCTGGAGCGAACATAGCTCACATACGTGGCGCATCCCACGGAGCCTCAAGAACTCCTCCCAAAAGCCGGACACCTTCAGGCCCAGACCTCGGTCGGACCCATGTTGTTGGCCTCTGGCAACCTTCAACTTCCCCGCGATTGCCACCCTACCTGCCTCCTGTTGTCTTGAACCCGTTGCGTAGGCCTCAACCACGAGACTCCGGCAGTCCAACTGCTACAAGTTGCCAATTTTCAGTCCCAAATCCAAGACTGCCCTAAACCCTGAACCCCAAACTCCAACAACCCTAAACTCTAGACCCTAAACCCTAAACCCTAAATCTCTAAACCCTAAACCGTAAAACAGTCCAGCACAGCTTCAGTGCTCTTCCGCCTGCCATGGTTCGCCAGCGGCGCTTCGGGCGTGCTGCCGTGCTGGTGCAGGCTATGGCTTTGGGTTTAGGGGTTACAGCGGTTAGGGTTCAGGGGTTAAGAAGGGGTTACGGAGTTGAAGGGGTTGAGGGATTAAGGGTTTTGGGGGCAAGGGGTTGAGGGAGTAAGGGGGTTGAGCGGTTAAGGGGGTTAAGGGGTGAAGGGGTCAAGGGGTTAAGGGGGTCAAGGGGTTAAGGGGTTAAGTGGGTTAAGGGGTTCAGTTGGTTAAGGGGCTTAAGGGGGTAAGGGGGTTAAGGGGCTTCAGGGGTGAAGGGGTTAAGGGGTTAAGGGGATAATGAGGTTAAGGGGGTGAAGGGGTTATGGGGTTAGGGGGGCTCCCTTAGGCCCCAGAGTATGGTCGTCTTGGTGCCGTTACACTCGCACATGCGTACATTGTCATATAAGCATACACAACTGTCTAGCTGCTCTCCGCCTCGTCCATTTTAGTGTGTATGCATGTGCACTTACGCTGCGAAGGCACATCATTCAGAATATACCTCCTGTGTTCATACATGGGTGGTTGTCAAAATTATGGTCTGCATGCGAGGCCCTGGCTCTACTGCTGGCGCCTGCCTGTTGTTCTTTCGTGACTGGAGGCTCGGCTCGTCTTGAAGGGGCTTCAAAACTCTCCTAAACCCTAAACCCTAAGCCCCAACAGGGCTTTCGGGAGGCGGAGCCTGATTTCCCAGTTTGGGGTTCGAGCTTGCATGTTTCGGGGTCTATGGTCTCGGGGTTTGGCCATGTTGACCGAATATCCTTAAGCCTTAAGCCCCGCGGTCGTAAAATCCCACACTTGCAAGGGTACCTGGCACTCCGTCCCCATTAAGGTGCAGGGCTCAGGGTTTAGGGTCGTACATCAGATTGATTTTCGGGACATCGTTGCGAAACTCAGTCCGACCAGTCGTCCCCCGCATGATCTTGCACGGTTACATGTTTGATAGCAAGTTGCAGGCATGATGATTTTGCATGATGGTGCGCCCCTTGAATCTCATGAGCCCCAGCTTCACGGGGTTGCAGAAGAAGATCTGTGCCTGGGCTTTTTTCCCAAGGCGAAGGCGACGCCAAAGCTGTTCTTCAAGATCTGAGGAGATCGTGTAAAGTTTCTCTGCATTGTGTTGGAAGTGATTAAGCACCTTCAGGCCATAGTCGGCGTAGAAGAATGGGCTCAGATCCGTTTTCGCCGAAGGAAGGTGCTTTCTGAGATGGGTCTCGAATTTCTGACAATAGCCCGTATGATCACGGGCGAGCTCTTGGCTCCGGAGAGCCTTGCACTTCACCGGTTTGACCTTGAAGCTTGCGAGCAGGAAACGCACATCATTTCCTATGTGTGCAAGTACCTGCCCATTGACATCTGCACGACCTATCTACAGGAAGTCGATGCACTACGGGCAACCTTCTTTGAGGAGGACCGGAAGCTCAATCTTGCTACGGCTGTGACAACGTCCTCCAGGATTGGATATCGAGGACATGAAGCAGACGCGGCAGATGATCAACAGCCGCATGTAGGCTTTGGAATCTTCGAAGCAGGAGCTCATCCCTGAGAAGAACGAAGTGGAGAGCATGATGCAACGCGAAGAAGAGGAAGCTGCAGCTTGCAGCGGCGAGCAGTCAGTGAGATAGGTCTTTCCAAGACGGGCTAAGGCCGTCAGTCTGGCGGTGAGGTTGTCAGGTTTTGTTCTTGCCTATCCCCGCAATAGCAATAGCCTCCACGACATGCCATCGAGTATAACCCGTCTACCGCGAAGCAACTCAATCGGGAAGTTGAATCTGGAACTCACTCTTCAAAGTTGAAACCCTAACCCCAGACTCCTCAGCCCGCCACCGCCACAACCACCGGCCGTTGTCATCGCTACCGCTATCGACGTAGCCAGCACTTGGAGGTAACTGTACTTACAGGAACCCATAACCCTTCTTAAGGTACTTATAACCATACTTACTAAGTCCCATGATCCTCCCATTGTAGACCCCTTATAGATCCCTTTAAGGAACCCTATGATAGTACCCTAAAAAGGAACCCTAAACCCTACTTACTAAGTCCCATTATCCTCCCATTAAAGACCCCTTACAGATCCCTTTAAGGAACCCTATGATAGAACCCTATAGTGCCTCAAAAAGGAACCCTAAACCCTACTTACCAAGTCCCATGATCCTCCAAGCCTGCCATCATCCGTCGCGACCCCAAGGCCCAGACCGGGCGCTGCCAACTTGAGGGTTTAGGGGTTTAGGGGTTTAGGGTTTTAGGGGTTTAGGGTTTAGGGTTTGGGGGTTTAGGGGTTTAGGGGTTTAGGGTTTTAGGGTTTTAGGGTTTAGGGTTTTAGGGTTTAGGGTTTAGGGCCCTGTTCATGTGTGAGGCGGTGCTGGACGCAGGGTGCAGCGCACGTCCCGGCATGCGGAGGCCGGCCGTGGGCCGTCCTGCAATCTGTATTGCAGGGGCCTTAATAGTTTGAATAGGCTTTTGGGCTCCTTTACAGCATGGTTATAACAAGGAGCCCTCAGGAATAATACAGGTATTTCTAAGGCTTCTATATTGCAGAGGCACATCTATTCCACAATTGCAGTGGATTGGCAGTCAGGTTAAGGGACCCAGAATCGCAACAATAGTTAACAGCAGCGGGAAGGCTGATGCAACATTGTTAGATTTCATCAGTTGTCGCCGTCGTCGGGCAGGGTTGCAGCTAACCTAGCATAACACGCTGAGTAGCGTCGTGGGGTTTCTGAGCCATGGACATGCTGTTTTCTTTCGGGGGGGGGGGGGGTACCCTAACACCTAGACCCCAAGCCGTAGTCTGTGAAGCAGGGCTTCCGAGACTCATGACTGTAGCTCCGGCCCCATTGGACTGCCTGGGTTTGTTTTTTTGGATTTTTTGAGGAATTCCGAAAAAAGGTCCAAGTGACCTTATAAAGCCACGGTTTAGGGTTTAGAGTTTAGGACTTTAGGGTACTAAGTACCTACTAAATACTGGGAGCCTTTGGGATATCGCGCGCCAACGCAAAGGTTTTTGTTTGGGCCTGGCGCTACTCTTCCGAGGCATCTGAGCACAAAGCAATGGCAGCCTCGCGTGATCGTTCCGTATTCTTCCTTGGTAGTCTTAAGGAGACCGCTTCAAGGGGACCCTCTTAACCCTACTTATTCTTAAAAAAGCACCTTATTGAGAGGATCTATATACAAGAGGGTCCCCCTACATAATCCTCACTCCTATTTCTGAGCCATGCGAGCATGGAGCAGCTGCAGAAGTTGATCACCAGATTACTCTTAGGGGTACTTAGAAATATTTTTTAATTTTTGGTTACTATAATCCCTAAGAAACAGCTAAAATTAAAACTATAACTTTTGCTAGGGTTCTAAGTTCAGTATAGTACTGTCACTGTCACCATGACTATACGTTCGCTACAAGGCTATTTGAAGCGGGCGGCCCGGGCAACGATGATGCTTGTGTTTCTTCTGGGCAACCCACCACTAATCAGTGTTCAACTGCTAGGACCCAGAGTAGGCCCTTATTCCCTTTTTTAAGGCTTAGGTTCCCTTATAAACCACTTTAAACCAAAAAGGGCACCCTTTTTATTCCTAGGTTACTCTAAGGTCTAGACTGAGCTTATGATCTAGGACTGCACGGCTTTATGTTCTAAACCCAAACCCTAAAACCGCCCAGGGCCTCAATGTGGGGGGTTTAGGGTTTAGGGTGTAGGGTTTAGGGTTTAGGGTGTAGGGTTTAGGGTTTAGGGTTAATCAGAATATGGTTTCGGGGCATATTGTACGAGTACTATAACTATAGAAAGGAAGCCCACCATAGTATAGGCAATTAATAAGGCCCTTACATTGGGCCCTAACCTCGGAGACCCTGAGCACGGCAGGAGCCGAACTTTTGGGAACAAGTGGTCTGGAGCGCCGCGGCTTACCATGGCTTACCGCAAGTTGTTGCAGTTGGCGGTGTTATTACTGGCAGACGTATCCCCGATCACATTCAATGATTTTAAGAGACACAGAGTGTGCCCCAACGCCCCGCGAGGCTCTGTGGGTTGTGAGGGGTCAGAACAACAGATAGGCGCCAGAGTATGTGTCTTCTGGAGGACTGGCAAGAACATCCTCTCTTCGGGGGGGATAGGGGATCAGAACAACAATCCTGCATTTGTCTAGGTCACGTTTTGGGTTCCGATGCTTATTGTCATTTGTGGATACATAAGAAAACACACTAACGCCCTTTCTCAAAGCCTTCAATGCTATATTGGCACCCCTTGCAAGGAACCCTATGTCTTTAAATGAGAGCTACTGAGAGCTTCATAGAACCTTATTCAAGTCCTGTATAGAATCCCTTACGACGCCTCATGAGCCCGATAACGCCCTTTACGAAACTCTGCATGCATCCCTAAACCCCAAACCCTCAACCCATAAACCCAAAACCCAAATCCCTAAACTTTGCCATTGGGGACTCGGGTTGAAAGAAGACTCCTAGGTCCTGAGCCCTGAGCGCTAAGCCTACATCTCCAAGAAGAAGCCATTGTTTCATCGGAGCCCTGTAGGGTTCTAGCAGTGTTTTAGATTCGCTTGAAGTATTGAGCCCAGTAGTCCTGCACAGCATGATACTGCTAGTAACCTGAAACCAGCATTGTTGAGTGCTCCCCAAGCCCTCATCTATCTTCGTCAGCCGACGCAGCAATGTTAAAGCTTACCTTAGCCTACCAAGCCCTACTTTTTTGTAGGTTCTTATTATAAACCTTAATATGGAACTTGTAAGGACCCTCCAAAAAAGTAGGTTTTGGTAGCTTAAGGTATGTGGTTTGAATATCTCCCAGGGGCCCACCCGATGCCGAAGCCTGCCGTAAACTCTGAACCCCTAAACCCTAAACCCTAAACCCTAAACCCCTAAACCCCAAACCCTAAACCCTAAACCCCTAAACCCTAAACCCCTAAACCCTAAACCCCTAAACCCCTATGGGAAAACCCCCAAGCCTGAAAGCACTCCGGAAACCTTCCCAGGTGCAGCCGAGAAGCTCGGCGACGCGCGTGCTGCCGTGGTCGGCGGTGCCGAACCTGCTGAGGCCCGGTTGGGGACCCAAAAAGGCACATAAGCATAAGCATGTTGTGGGGATATCCCTACCTTATGGGCTTCCTTTTAAAGGGGGTTTATATGGGACATCCCTATCCTAATTTTTGCTTACGTGCTTTTTTGGGGCCCTACGCCGGTTGGAACACGGCTGTTGCAGGCTTCCCAGAGACTCCAATAGCCCTTAAGTAAGGAATATACCTTAAATGATAGGAGGATCCCTACCATAATTTGAGGAATGTTCCTTCATGAAGGGATATTGGAGTCTCTGGGTTGTTCTGGCATTTCTATGTTCTTACCCGATCTTGGTTCGGGCTGGGTGTCATGACTGACAGTGACCTGAACAATCGACGGGGGCACTGCATCGCCAATGCTGCGCTCATCGGCACTATGGTGCTGTTACAAACATTTTTCAATTCATGATTTACTGCTAGAGCTAGTATTGTTTTTACTACTACTCATTCTCTGATTCTCATTCTCTCCAATTTACATACTTGCTGTAATTGTTTCTATCATCATCAATTTCACTATTATGCTTGTTATACTTATTAAGACTACTAGTATCACGAGCACCTTTAATACTGTCGGGCTTTCGGGCGCCGAAGGTCTTGAAGCCAAGCACTGGACACCGGGGCCGGTCTCGAAACCCGAAATCCTAAACCCCCAAATCCAAAACCTAAACCCCGACATTAACCCTAAACTCCCAAATCCAAAACCTACTAAACCCGAAAGCCTAAGCCCCTAAAGCCTAAACCCCAGACCCCTAAACCCTAAAGCCTAAACCCCTAAACCCGAAACCCTAAAGCCTAAACCCCTAAACCCGAAACCCTAAACCCTAAACCCCTAAACCCCTAAACCCTAAACCCCCAAACCCCTAAACCCCTAAACCCGAAACCCTAAACCCTAAACCCCAAAACACCTAAACCCTAAGAGAACCTAAACCCCCAAATCCCTAAACCCTAAACCCTAAACCCCTGAACCCTAAGAGAACCTAAACCCCTAAACCCTAAACCTCCAAACCCCTAAACCCCTAAACCCTAAACCCCCAAACCCCTAAAGCCTAAACCCCGAAACCCTAAACCCCCAAAACCCCTAAACCCTAAACCCCCAAACCCCTAAACCCCTAAACCCTAAACCCTAAACCTTAATCTCTGCATGAAATATCCCTGCCCATGGAGGTCGGTAATGCAGCACGGACAGCAGAGGCACTTCCGATGGGGTTTCCTAGTAGAGTGTTTAGGGTTTAGGGGTTAGGGTTTAGGGTTTAGGGTTTTAGGGTTTAGGGTATAGAGTTTAGGGTTTAGGGTTCAGGGTTTAGGGTTTAGGGGTTAGGGTCCTTTTAATTGCAAGGGTGTTCTGAATGTGACATGGAAGTGTGCTCTTTGCTCCATTAGCAACAATATCCCGAACCCCGCCTCACCTCCACACGCCACGCATAAACCCTGGCTCTGTTGGAATCGTCAAGAACTTGCAAGTTTCTAAGAATGTCGCCGTCAGCGGGGGTGGTGCCTTGCGGTGAGGAGGAAAGGAAACAAACAAAAAGAAGCCCTTTCAACCCCAAAGCCCCAAACCCTGAAGAGCCCCGGTAGTCCCGTAGAACGCGTAAACTCACCCTTGTAACAATGCGTATACTCACCTTCATAGAACCTGTATAGCTTATAGAATCCTGATAGTCACCCTTATATCAACACTTGTGATAGCCCTCCACCTACAACCTGCAAACTCGGCCGAGCTGTCAGGAGCTCGTGGAGAGGATGAGGAAAGACTATGACCGCGACTACTTCCTCACTGGGGCCTTTCGTCTGCTTCTGGCATTTGGGGATTTGAGGATCGGAGCGGTTTCCGGACGTTGTGAGGGGTCCCTCAGGCGCTTCTTAAGCACGACTATGTGCGAGTTTTTGTTGGCATGAAATCCGTTCCTGTCCCTTTGGAGCAAGGACATAGATGTGGCCCTCTACGCAGAGGAGTGTGAGTTCGCGGATCCGTTCACCTCCTTCAATGGCCGTGACCGCTTCGTTCAGAATCTGAAGCACCTGGGCAAGCAGAAGTTTGGGTTCTGGCCTGAGTCTGAAGTGAAGGTATAGAAGTGTGAGCGCGCCTCTACTGAAGTATCAGTTCCAGTAACTTCCCTGATTTAACAACAGCGTTGGCAACGATAGTGGCAAGATGTGCAAAATCAGGAGCAGTAGATGTTTGCCGACGCAATCGCGCATCCACATCCCTGTGCTTGCGCTGGGACGTGTTGCTGCTGCTGCTGCTGCTGCTGCTGCTGCTGCTGCTGCTATTTATTTTGTACTGCCGGAACAATAACAGCAGCAACAACAGCAACAACAACGACTCCTGATTACTCTTCTTGCTCCCCTGCTGCACATGCAAGGAATCTGGCTGGAGGCTTCATCACCGCCTACAGAACCAAGCTTCTGGACCGGCTGTAGGATTTAGAACTTGAGGTGATTCCCAACCTGGGAGTTTCCAAAAATAGGGGACTTATTATAAGGGCCCCCCAAAAGCAGGTACCTATTTTCGGAAACTCCCGCCTAGAAGCGTTGCAGGGTTCTTCGACTGAGCACAGAGATGCTCCCTGCATACTCTAGCCTAGTAGTAGAGTAGGTATCCTTTAACCTTTTTTGGGTAGTATAGTCCCTATTATAATCCCAATATGACCAAAAAGGTCAACCTTTAGTTCCCCATGATACCCGAGAAGTAGGCATAAACCCTAAACCCTAGACCCCTAAAGCCCTAAACCCCTCATAGAACCCTTATAGGAACCCTTATAGATCCCTTGAAAAGGAGGACTGCTAGTTACACTGAGTTCAGCCGGCTGAGGGCTCCCAGGCTGCTAGGGCTGCCTACTATGAGTTAGAAGCTGCCCCCACCCTGTAATAGTGACTATAAGGATTATACTAGGGCCCTATTTTATTCCTATTATACCACTATTACAGGGTGGCCCCTTCTAAACTATAAGTGCTAACGCTGGTACACCACATACCGGTCCGTCCGCCACGCTGCTATGAACGCATGCAAAGAAACCATAGGTTGCAATTCGCAACAAGGTTTATCTTCTCGGGCCTCGCCATACGATTCTACTGATTCTAGTCTCAACATGCCACAAAGCTTTTAGGTTTGGGGTTTAGGATTCAGGGGAGTTGCTCAGCCTGGCATCTCCGATCCTACACGTAGAGCCCAAACTACTACTAACATGGAGGGCGAAACAGTCGCTTAAACTATTTTGAGGATTTCTTACTAGCGCGATCGCAGAATATGCCTCAAAACCCTCTTCTAACTATGGAGGCCCCTAATTATAGTACAGCCTCGAATCTCAAGCCCAGCCCTTCGCTGGTAGGCGAATGTACACCCCCTAAACCCTAAACCCTAAACAGGATCACGGTCACCCCAACTCGAGAACTGGGAGTCTCCCTCAAGTCAAAGGGGAAAAGGAGGGACCCTTAATGGGGACTCTTTAAAGGGATCTATAGGGATTCTATAAGGGTATAGGGTTTAGGGTTTAGGGTTTAGTATGGGAAAAGGAGGGACCCTTAATGGGGACCCCTACCCTATAATGGGCTATATAATGGTTATTATAAGGGTCCCTCCCTTTACCCTTGGATAAAGCCTCCCGGCCTGGTTCTGGGCTTTGGAGTACCATACTTTAGTACTTTGTTTCTTAAAGGAACCATTATGAAGTGAAAGTGTATATTTTTTCTCCTTGGTTACTTCAACGCCCAGTCTAGGACCCAGAGTTGGCCCTCATTCCCTTTTTTTTATGGTTCAGGTTCCCTTCTAACCCCCTGTAAACCAAAAAGGGCACCCGTTTTATTCTTAGGTTACTTCTTGGGTCTAGTAATGCTTTATTTAGTAGCTGAGTGGATACACTTTGCACTTTTGGGGATAATATTACCAAACATAAAACTGAAAGTGTGCACTTTTTGGGGCTTGTGAAATCAGCAACTAAGTTTAAGGAGCCGAACATGATCGAACCCCAAAGTACCCTAAAAAGGGAGCCCCATTGTAGAACTCATTCTAATTACTGTTATGGGTGTAAGGAGCCTACAGTAGAAGCCAGAAAGTTGGAACATCATTTTCCTCATGCCCTTGAGGGAAGGTATAGGGAATTGATTCACCATACTCTTATATTGTCCCCAAACTCCCACAAGGGAATTCCGGCAAGCCTGGCAGGCCAACTCACCCTGGGCATCGAAATAGCCCAAACGCCTTACAAAGGTGTGGTTTTCGAAACCAAAAGCCTTACTATACGAGTCCTTAGATCCCTAGGGTCGTGGGCGCGAGGACTATGAGACCGTGAGCCAGACCGACTCGTCCGTAGAGGTTCCCGCGTCGAAATCGGGGGTTAAGGGTTTAGGGTTTAGGGGCTTAGTTGCTTAGGGCTTGGGGTTGAGGGGTTCAGGGGTTTAGGGCAGTTTAGGGTTTAGGGGTGTAGTTGCGGGTTTCAGGCAATTGCTCCTCGGCTTTTTTGACTTGTGTCCTCAGACAGGTCCTTTTGTTTTTTCTTTCTCCCACGGAGTTCTGAGTCTGTTTAATCGCTTCCCCCTAACAGTAACGCCCCCGAATATAAAACTTCCCGCCCCCGGAATTTTGCAGTTTCGGGCCGACAATTGAAAGTTAATGAAAAACATTAGAGGGGGGCCTAGGATTGTATTAGTTTTAATAGAGCCAAGACTACAGCAGTACCAATCAAACCCAAATTAGGGCTTAGGGCTCAAGGTTTAGGGCTTAGAGCTTTAGGGTTTAGGGCTTAAGGTTTAGGGCTTAGGGCTCCAGGGCTGGAGGGTTTACGGCTCAGAACAACGGCTGCGTAGGAAACGGTAGTTGTTTAATTACTTGTCTGACTGTCTGGCTCATTACTAGACCCTAAACCCTAAACCCTTAAAAGGAAGCCCCTTATAGAGCCCTATAGTACCCTTAAAACGAGCCTTAAACCCTACTATAGTTACTAACTAATTCCCATGAACCTCCAAGTACTGTCAATCCGACTCATACCGGGAGGCCCCGAAGCCCTCCCTAATACAGACGGTTTAGGGTTTAGGGTTTAGGGTTTTGAGCCCTCCGAAATCAGTTTTTATTTTTTGGAGGAGGGGGGGTGGCGGGAGCGTTTCAATATTAGGGGAAATTTGCTTCCCCTGGAGCCACCGGCACTTTCCGGCATGAAACTTGGACAGGAATGAACAACATATGTAAGGCAGCACAGTCGGGGAAGACACATGTTGCACGGCCGGCATGGTAGCGCATGTTCATATGCCGTTCTGAGATTGTACGACGGCCTTACTACGGCCAATTACTACCTATAGTATGAATCACTACGAATAACTTTGCTTCTACTACTACGACGACGAAGACTAAGACTACTAGGAACAGGACGACAACGACAACGACGACTACTACTACCACTACTGCCATGCCTGTCACTGCTACCACTACTACCACTACAACCACCAGCACAACCACCACCGCCACCCCCACCACCACCATCACCATCACAATCACCGCCGCCACTTCCACTACTTGTCAGTGGAAATGCAGGGATTGGATGGAGTTTGTGTTTCGAGGTCGTGCATGTTGTGGGAAGAGCTTGCTGGAATTGTTTTAGGGCATGGCTCATGGCATAGGCATAGACCCGCAAGTTAAGAAGTCTTGAAGACTGGACCACAGGCCCCAAAATCCCAAACTCCAAACCCTGAAACCTGTAACCCTGAACCGTAACCCCATAACCCCCTCCTCAGACACCCAACGGGCCTGAAACAGCCGAGGTGTCCTAGACCCACTGAACAAGAAGCCCCTGGAGCCCTCCTTAGACGCCCGAGAGCCCTCAACTACTGTAGAGGCCTAGATAACTACCAGTACTTTTGTGGGGGCTCCTTATTCTGATTATAGCATGAAAAACTCAAACCCTGTTCTAGTTGTTACAGCCCCTATATTATGGAACCCTACTACAGATCCCTTACAGAATCCGTGAAGGATTCCTTCAAAGGAGCCCCATTCTAATTATTAAGGCCCCGTACCCTAAACCCTAAGTCCTTAAACCCTAAGCCGAAGCCATATAATATAACCCAAAACCTTATTCTGGTTATTAAGGCACCCCTTTATTATAGAACCCTACAGCAGATCCCTTATAGAAGAGCCCTTCAAAGGATCCCCTTTAAAGGAACCCCAGTCTAACCATTATGGCCCCTTTTTGTGGTCGAGGTGAAGAGCCGTTCCCAAGTCGTCCTGGACCTCGCCCTCCCATGGAAGCCCACTTTGGGTTCACCTCGCTGAATCAGGAAATCCTTTAAGGGATCTCAAGGGACAAGGGTTCAGGGTTTAGGGTTTAGGGTTTAGGATTTAGCGTTTAGGGTTAGGTAGGGCTTTGGGTCATTTTATATTTGCTCTTATTGGGCTTACGAGGGTCTTACCTACTAATCTTTTTCAAAGGCTTTAAAAGCACCTCCTAGTGAATTGTTTAGGGACTAGAAGGGCCTTTAGTGTTGAGGGTTCTTTAAGGTAATTTAGAGGCCTTGATAATTACCTATACTATTGTGGGGGGGGGGGCTCCTTCTTATAGTTGTAGTATAAGATACCCCCAAATACCCTATTCTAATTCATACAGCCGCTGTATATGAGGCCTTTCGAGGTTTGGGGTCCAACGTTTTGTGTTTTTCCTATGAGCTCTGGCTGCTTTTCGGGTTCAGGTTTCGGGGTGGGTTCACCAAAAAGAGCAAATCTTGGCCTAAGCCGCATCAGGGTTCAGGATTTAAGGCTTAGAACTCTGAGTCCTTAAGCTTAAACCACCGAGTTGATCAACGTTGATCACTTAGAGTTGGATACTGCCCCCACCCAGTAACAGTTGGATCATATTCATAATACAGATATGTTAGGACCTTAATAGTCGCTCTACTATAGACTATAGACTGTTACTGTATGATGGGCAGTACCCAAGTTTAGAGCATCCAGAATCGAGGTTCGGGTTTCGTTGGACCAAACTGCTCAGAGGTAACTCTGCAAAAAGCTCACAAGCTCCCCATGCCCCTCTCACTCCCAACGCGCAATCGTAGATGCTTCATCCCATACCCAAAACCTTGATCCCCAAGCCCTGGAGCTAGAAGGAACGCAGAATACCACTTCCCAATATTGTTTAAGGTGTTGGGCTTAATCAAGTGGCCTAGAATGCACATACTGGCACTTGGCAGTAGAATTCCTTTTCCAATGGCGCTGATCGCTCGCAGAAGCTGTGACGCCACAGCAGACATCATTCCTTTCATCAACGTTTGCTAAGACTGCTAAGACACGCTTGGTCTTCCTAGGTTTGTATAAACCGGCAAACATTCGAATAAATACACTGTTTGACAAGATTAGCCCCCTTCCCTCCCCTCTCGGTCCCGTCCCGTCCTGTCCACCCTTTATCCATCTCTCCATCTATCCACCTATCTATCTACCATCTGTCTAATCTATCTGTCTATACATAGAGCTACCTATACCTGGCTGCCTACCTACCCACCTCCATGCATGCATGCATCCATGCATAGGTTCGCACAAATGTGTATAAGTACTTACACACGTGCTTGCCTGCATGCATACATACATGCCTGCATGCACGAATGAATATGCACCAGCCTATCTATCTACCTACCTACTTACCTACCTAACCAAGAGAATCCTAGAGACAGGCATGCAGACATGCATACTTGCATACATGCATGCATCCATGCATACGTGCAGACATACAGGCATGACTTACAGGCATACCGACACAGCGACGTAGATACGTACATGCACCCATACACACATACATTTGTACATACATACATGCATACATATGTACAAACGTACCCGCGTACAAGGCAATGCATACCTACACTAATGCAGGTCTCATACGTACATAGCTGCAGACTTACATAGAGACATGCAGACATATAGACTTTCAGGCATGCCGACATACAGACATACACACTTGCATAAATGCATATGGACATACATACATACATCCATACACACATACATGCGTGCATACATACATGCCTGCCCATATACACACAGCAACGCATACACACATTAACACATGCATTATATTCACATACAGACTGTCATACATGCATGCCGACATACAGGCATACATAGTCGCATACATACATATGCACAGACGTACATACACGCGTACACGCGCATACATGCATGCATGCATGCATGCATGCATGCATGCATGCATGCATACCCTTGTACAAGCATGCATGCATACATCCTGAAACTGATAATTACTTCCATGTATACATATGAATATATGCACACACAGCCACACACACACACACACACACACTCATACATATATGTATACATACATGAGCAAGCATGCCTGCATGTATACAGTTACCTATATCTGCTATACAGGTACATCGACATATCCCATACAAAATCAGCCACAATCCGAGGTTGGGTCTGGGGTGTCATGCACGAGTGCAGCCGCAGAGTCGACGCCAGCGGCGAAACGGCCGGGAGTGGGGATACACACACACACACACGCACAGACATATATATACATATATATATATATATATACACGTCAAAAACAGGAACTCTACATTATGCTTTGAGTTCTTCTGTATCACAGGTTGTAATTACGGTTGATATTCTACATGTTTCGAGTTGTGCTCTGTTCAGACTGAACTGAACTGGTGGCTTCTGAGCCATAGCTTCTGTTCCCCAGTATGGGGCTCTGGGTTAATTAGGCTTCAGGCATGGTGTCATATACTATAGAAGCCTAAATAATTACCCATGTTTTTTTGGGGGTTCCTTATTGTGATTATAGTATAATGGGGCCCAAGTACCCATGCTAATTATTAAGGCCTGGAACCCTACTCTAGATTTGTTAGAGACCCCTTTAAAAGGATCCCTTTAAATGGAACCCTATTCTAATTATTAAGGCCCTTAGCATTTTGTGTATCATGGCAGACCCGAAGATGATGCGGGGCAGCTGGGTCTAAGGTCCGGCGCAGACTTTGACCAAAGCACAAAGCCTGGGTGACTTTGGGTTCACGCTTGACATGGAAATCCCCGGTGGCTGAGCACGTGAGACAACCACAGACTTAGCATGCGGTTTGGAAGTCTTCTAAAATTCAGCCATCACCACTCGGAGAAATGTTTGCAGCAGAAATCTTGATTTGTAGATCTCAATGAAGCTTCAGGGTTGTAGGGTTTAGGGTCAAGGGTTTAAGGGTTTCGGGTTCAACCTTAGACCCGCGCAAAGGAAGCTCATGAGGGAGCTCGATTTTCCTGAGGCAAAAAGAGCTTATGACCTTGTAGGCCAGAAGTCCGAAGCCCTGTTGCCCTCTACTAGGACCCAGAGTAGGCCCTTATTCCCTTTTTGAGGGTTCAGGTTCCCTTATAAGCCCCTTTAAACCAAAAAGGGCACCCTTTTTATTCCTAGGTTACTCTTAGGCCCAGTCTAAAAGGCATGATGAATGATTTTTGAACCTTCATATTCCTTGGCCTTCAATCTTCAACTTTCGAATTTCTAGCCGTTCCGGGCGCCTGGTACTCGAGGGTTTCCAGTTGTTAGGGTTTAGAGTTTAGCGATAAATCGCCCCCAGCCGCGCACTGCGACATAAGTTCGCCAACGAAAAGCTTCTGTTGAACGCGTCAGTAGAAGCTGCGAGTCGAGATGGCCAGGGGTTTGTCCGGTTCAGGGAAAGGCTTCATTTGATCCAGCGCCTTCTCTGATACAGTATATGCGGCTGGGCAAGTTCGGGGATTCTTCTGTACAGGTCTGGCAGTGCGACGTGCATCGTGCTACTCGGCCGTATCCGGGTACTTTTGGTTGCTCTTTGATCGTTGTGCGCTCGGGTTTGGGGCTCAGTCACAGAAGGGTTAAGGCCCGTGGTAGCGACGTCTCGGGGTTTTGTGCTCGGCATGTAGTCTGGGGCTCGGGCATTAGGATTCCGGCTTCAGAGTTTTTAGAGTTACTGTTTCAGGATTGAGCTCTTGGCTGTCCGATTCTGCATAGAGGGGCTAATGCTCTGGCGTATTCACATGTGTTTTTGGCGGCCGATACCCCCGAGCTTCCTCTTCCACATTCTACATCCTTGTGGGAGGCATGAACGTAGCTCCCCAACCAAAGTTAAAGGAGTAGGGTCCCGATAGCCCGAAAGCAATAAACCCTAAAACCCGAAGCATCCATTCGGTGTGCTGGAGAGAGGGAGGGCTCCGACATCCAACCCCATTCAGGGTTTAGGGTAGTTCCGAACCCCTGACTTCTACGCTGCCTAAACAGGCTAGTTTCGAAGACTTGTGGTAAGATCCCAGAGCCGTCCCTCAACTGTTCTTCGACAAGGCCATTCTGATTCTGCAGGTCCTTTTATTCAGCCTAAACCCTAAGCCCTACCCCCAAACCCAAACCCTAAAGCTCAAGTCCTGAACCCTATAAACCTCAAACCCCAAACCGAAGTCCGAGGAGTCATGGGAGGTTTCTGCCTCTGAGGGCGTCGCGATGCTCTTCCGCCCTGGCAAGGGGCTGCTAGAAAAGTCGAAGAAGTAGCCCTGCAGAGACGAAAAAATGGAGACTGGGGTTTAAGGTCCCATGGGAGGCAGATACAATATTATGTTCTATTCTGTTCTATTGTTCTATCCTAGCATGATATAGTACAGTCTAGTCTAGTCTAGCATAGCATATATGTATAGTCTCTTGCATGATATGTGTCCAAATTGGGAAGCTTCGGGTGGGTTTGGGACTTAGTGCTTTGGTGTGCAGGCTCTTAAAGCTCTTCATCTGAACTTCATCTGATCTAATAGGAGCATGGTTCCAGCTCGGGTCCGTGTACTTAAGATCGCTGCATCCTACACAGTGAGCCAAACTCAGAAATTGAAATTCTGCGCGTTCGAATCAGAAATCTTGGGCCCCAGTTTGGAGCAGTGGCTAGTGGTAGTCCATAAATCTGAAACTGTCTTGAGGTCCGCTATCCCAGCCTAGAGGCGGTCTTTCATGATTTCAGCGTTTGGCCCCATGGCTGTGTTACTACCGGAAGGGTGCTTTCTGAGATAGGGGTCTGAAGGATGAGTACTACGGTGGATGATATAAATCCTGCATTACCTTAAGGGCCCTAAACTATGGGAATTATGGTATATTCCTTATTATGGGTAATGCAGGATTTATATCATCAACCGTAGTGTTACTAGTTTCGTTTCCCATAGTCCAACCAGACATCTTATATACCCTCAAAAAGCTCATCGTCATTCTAATCATCATGAAAGTCCCTAAATACATTATACCCTGAAGCCCCTCCCCGCCTCCCCCCCCCGGTCCTCTCCCCGGGGGTCCGAAAAGAAGGGCCTCCCAGAGACTCCAATATCCCTTAATTAAGGAATCTAGTTACCTTCAACTATAGTAGGTGTATTCCTTAATTAAGGGATATTAGAAATCCCTCAACCCTAAACCCTATAGCTCCCTTAAAGGATCTTTCAAAGGAACCCTAGGAGCCCCAGGTAATCCTTAGTTAAGGGATATTCGAACCCCTAAACCCTAAACCCTATAGTATAAGAGGTATATTCCTTAATTCCCTCATAGAACCCTTCTTGATCCCTTTAAGGAACCCTTATAGATCCCTTATAGATCCCTTTAAGGAACCCTTATAGATCCCTTATAGATCCCTTTAAGGAACCCTTTTAAGCTACATTCCTTGTTTCAGGGAGTCGCGGAGTCTCTTGGCTCTGGCCCCCGACGAAGGCGCAGCTGCTCCTCCCGGGGAAAAGCCACGAGGCGCTCGTGGCCCACGGCAAGTGGATCTACGAGCAGGCTCCCTCTTAGGGTTTAGGGCTTAGGGTTTAGGGTTTAGGGCTTAGGAAACAGCTCTGCTTTATATGATTATTCTAGGGGCCTAAAGAAATTACCAATACTATTTGGGGGTTCCTTAGTATATTTCTAGTAAAATGGGCTCCAACACCCTATCCTAATTATTCAGGCCCCTATATTTATTAGTGCTGCTCTTACTTTTCCATTAGTTGACACTCGCTCTTGAAGGTTTTGAGGGGGACGCCTCGGCTGGAGAGCATGACCATCAACATGCTATCATTGGTTCTCGCCATTGTCAGGGTTATAGCCATGGCTAATGGATCATGCAGATCATCGTCAATGAGTATGAAAATTACTTCTATAAGCAATTGTTGTCTTATTCGATTTCGTCGGTACTGCGCTTTGAACCTTTTGAAACCTCCAGCACTCAGTGGCGACTCTTCCCAGGAAGCCCTGCATGCAGAGAGACGCCAGCTCGTGGCTGCGTGGCGGGAACAGCAAGAGGCCAAAAGCAGCTTGAAGTGAAGTGAAGCTTGGTGTTCTATTGGTATGATGATAACTTAGTAGTTGAGTGGATACACCTTGCACTTCTAGTGTACACTTTTGGGGGGCTTATGAACTCAGCAACTAAGATAAGCTAGGACCCAGAGTAGGCCCTTATCCCCTGCTTTAGAGATCAGGTTCCCTTTTAAGCCCCTTTAAAGCCAAAAAGGGGCACCCTTTTTATTCCTAGGTTACTCCTGGGTTTAGTGAGTCTATCAGGCTCTGCTGGCAAGTTGATGGTATGAGTTGCAGTTCCGTTTGGGTGCTCGACTTCAACCTGCCAGCAGTGCCTCTCGCGGCTGTGTTAACCCCAGCCACCGCCGCCGCCTCGACAACCCCACCACAAAGCCTGAACCCTAAACCCTGAGCCCTAAACTCTAAAACCCTAAACCCCTAAAGTCCTGAACTCCTGAACTCCTAGCCCTAAACCCACAACCCGAACCCCTAAACCCCACTTCGTCCCTGGAATCGTTTGGGTCATCAGACTCACACTCGCGGCCCCTGAGTTCCACCTGGCCAGGCCGAGAACGAGAAGCTTCGCGACGAGCCCGTTGAAGACGCCATACAGGTTGGGGACCTGGGCTATCAGCTGAGGCAAAAGGTAAACTTTAAGCATATCCGCTGGGTTGTGCAGCAGGTGATTCCGAATTGAGGGTTTTGCAGGATCTAAGAGTCAGACATATGCCGGGAGGAAGTTAGACAACTTCTGATGGAAGCTTGCAGAAGGACGGAATGCGTCTGAAGGCGTTTGTTGCGGTGTATCTTCAATGGTCTTGTGGCCAAGAGCTTGGAGTTTCGCAGTTTCTCCTTCAGTGGCTCCGATTGAGTAGCTGCAGCCACATGCGCCAGCACGCAGTTCACTGCCTGAGATTTGGGGTTCGATGTTCAGTAGATCACCTGAAGCCGGAAGCCAGGTCCAGTCCTGTGAGGTCGTCTGTAGTTTGCTTGGGGGGGGGCCTACCGGGTCGTTAGGAACCGGAATCAGTTGGTGAGTCCCACGTTGTATCCCCAGAGACTCCAGTACCCCTTACTTAAGGAATTTTACCTTAAACTATAGTAGGATCCTTAATACTAGAATGAGTTAAGGTCTATTCCTTAAGTAAGGGATGGGATATTGGAGTCTCTAGACCCTAAACCCTATGGGTCCTGAACCCTTTGCCGAAATTTTTAACCTCCCAAAGAGTCCCCCGCCCACCTGCCGAAGGCTTGAACCCCCAAGGCCCAAACTCGAAACCCCAAAGCCAAACCCCCTTATTCGGGTTCCTTAAATGACTTCTACTCCTTGGGGATTATAGGGCCAGGGTTTCTTAACCAGGTTCCTACATAAAAGGGAACTCCAGAAAGTTGGAATATGGATTAATGGTAGGATCCCCTATAGTTTACCTTAAAGGGGTTACGATAATGCTATCTTTCTGGCTTCTACTGTAAGGCCCTAAACCGTAATATGGGTGGTTGTCAAAATTATGGTCCCTTTTTGTGTCACTAATATAGTACGGCACCTAATATGTAGGGTTGCCCAAAAAGGGACCATAATTTTGACAACCACCCATACAGGGGTCCAGTTCTATTTTGCGGTTACTCCTTATAGGTATAGTAGAATGGGCCCCCCAAAGCCTTATTCTAATTATTAAGGCCCCTTATCTTGCAGCATCGCAACATACCATCTCTCTCTGAGGTCCACACCTTACGGGGGCCCCGAATCGGAAAGCTTTGAGAAGCAGAGTTTCATTTTGGGGCTTTGGGTGGTTCGGCGATTTTGTTCCGAGGCGGCGGGGGGGGGGGTAGGGTGAGGGTTTTTTGAGGTGGTCCAAGGCCACGCCCGAAACACTCTACACGACCCTACATAAAGCCCTTGAAAGTCAATGGTGAGACTACTTGCAGTGGTAACCTCCCACGTCTTAGCCCTTGGTCACAAGCTGTAAATCCTTGTACCTGCTCTGTCTACTGACGGTAGCCCCACTAGATAGTGGTCGTAGTAACCATAACCTCAATTGGTGTCTAGGCGCGACTTTAGTAATTGTCAGCTGCGAGTTCACAGTCCCGGACACTAGCAGAAGTGAACTGTCAGCTGTTGACAATACTGCTCGCACAACCAATGATCACGATAGGAGCAGCAGCAACTGCATCAGAAGTGGCGAGCATACTGACTGCAGAAGTAAGTAACGCTAGCAAGAAGAGCATTCATGGCGAGAACAGTTAGAACCTGTATATCTGTTGCATACGGATTAGAAGTATTATTTCACACTTTTAAAGGCCATCACAGCCGTGTCTAGGAATGGTCAGGATGCTCGTATACGAAAATGGTCGGACATAGCAAACGAAACTGCCAGCGCGGTTCTAATCCGGATGGTCGTGATAACAGTCAGACTAGGTCAGCTGGTCATAGAAGTCATCCCTAGCAACGCGAGGTAATGTCAGTATTATCCTGACAGCCAACGTAGTCCTTGTAGCAAACAGGAGAGGCAGGCCAGGGCGGCGAAAATTGAGCGCACAAAGCAGGAATGCCAGGACCAACGTTGCGGGTTTAGTGTTTAGAATTGTGGGTTCTTGAGATGTTTCGAGCGTTTGTGTTCAGCATTTAGGATTTAGGATCTAGTGTTAGAGCTTTCCAGCATGGGTTTTACAGTATGGAATATGATGATGTCAAGCTGCTTGTTGAGGAGTTCCTCAGTATGCCGGAAATTGCTGGTAGGCAATTATGTCTTTCGTTTAGTTTTTTGCGGGGAAAGATGGCCAGGGAGTAGGTTCAGGACTTACGATGCAGGCTTCCAGGATAATGTTGCTCCACCATGGAATGGTTGGAGATTTCACCACGTTGGGCTAATCACCTTCTTGACAATGAGATCGTGGAGCAGCATTGTGGTGGATGAATACCGTCTCGATCAGCTCATCCTCATGAGCAACACGGTGAAGTTTTGCATGATGTAATGTACTGTACTGTAATGCAACGTTCTCGGCTGAGGGCTGGTCCCGAAAAACGATGTCGCCATTCACAAACCTGCACTCCAAGTCCTAAACTTCGAACCCTGAACCTGGAAACCCAATCCTGCATATTAACACGGCTCAGGGCTTGTATGGTCTTTTGGCCTGAGGCCCGAAGGCTGTTTTAAAGATCGGGACTTCGGTCTGTCCTACACTGATGGGTTTGCAGAGTATAGGGTTCAGGTTGGAGGTGTCCATGGGTGTTTGATGTTGTTATCGCATTG